CTCTGTAACCTGTCTCGTTAATCCCTTCACCATGTCCCGTATCTCCTTCACTTCCTCATCCACGGCCTCATTCTTCTCCGACCAGGGATAGTCCTTGAAATCAGGACATCTATCAGTAGCATACTCCTTGTAGAGAGAGAAGTCACGTCTCCTCATCCCTCTCCACACCAAGTCCTTGTAATCGTCTGCCTCTGCCTTTATCGCGAGCTTTAGGACTTCTGGGAAATCAAGCCTGTCGTGCGGAAGATCTCTAAGTATACTCTTTTGCCTACCTTTGGACAAGTGTCCGATRAAGATAGTACAGCGCTCGACCTCTGAAATCTTCCCCTTCTTCATCATCGCGTCGGAGATATTTTGGAAACGCATCCCAAATGCCCGTACGCTCTCATCTTCATCTTGAGTCATTGTTTCAAGGTCCTTGATGAAATACTTGTTATCCTCCAATTTGTAAAGCTCAACGAGGTTCTTCTCGTACGTAGTCCATTTTCCATCCTTCGGTCGAGCTTCCTTAACTTCCCTACCAAGACTTGGGTCCACATTAAATAGGAAGTTCTCTATAATCTCTTCCTCCGACCACTGACTCCGGCTGGCGTGAAGCTCCCACTTCTCCAGATATTCTGTGATACCATAGCCCCTGAAGGTAGGAGGCTCTTACGTCGGACCCTCCGTCATTGGTTTGGTCAGCCCATCTCAGAGGTGCTTTTTGCCTAATTCGTTCCTTCAGATCCCTCAGTGCTCGATCGGGCGATGCCCTGTATTCTTCTCCCGCTTCGCCCGTAGTCGGTTGTGGCCCCATCGTGTCGGGTTCCATTGGTCCGCCAGGAGATGCAGTTAGGTGTTCTAGCCAACTGTTACAGCCCGACCTTATGACAGTCGCTGCAGCCCGGACCCGTGACAGTCGCAGGCAGCCCGAACCTGTCTCTTTGTCACGACTCACGTCCGCCTCCAATCTTAGCCCTCCACTGCCTCAATTACTACCTCCAGTATCCCGTTCCGGTCGCAGATCTCATGTTCTCCCTTCCCTGTGTCTATGTAACCTCTCCTTCGGGATCGGTCAACAAGGCCGTGCCTGTCCGGATCCACAGTTCGCCCGTGACAGGGCCTCCATTCCTTGAGACAGATTCCAATCCCAAACCTAGCCAATGTTTCCTGATCAACACTTCCCAAGAGTCCCTGAGCGTCTCTCTCCGTCCTCCTTGCTAGTTCTCCTAGCCCGCTAAAGGCCCTCCTACTGTCGCCCATTGTCACCCACCGACCTTTCCCGCTTCGTCTATCCTTCCAAGAGCTTCCAATTTCTATTTCCACTTCCTTATCTCCTCAACGGTTACGAGGTCATCTGTCTAACAGCTGAAGTAAGTTAGTGCTATAACGACTTGTAACCTCATCGCCGACCGCTCCAATATGTGATAAAATGTCTCAAAGTCCTCACTATCTCCCCCTTCGTCTATCGCCTCTAAAGTCTTCATCGTTTCCTTCCAGTACCTGTTGTGAGCGGCTAACACCCTGAGTATTGCACCATCTGTTACTACTCTCCCTAACTCTCCAGCCTTCGTGGCTTCGCTTATCTTCAACCTCTCAGCCTCTCTGGTCGTCTCGTATCATGCCCTTATCCGAGACCTCCCTTCGAAGGGTGTTACTCGGAGTACGTATTTTATCCTCCGTCCTCCTTCTATTCCAATCCAAAGTCCTGTTCCCCTAGCCTCACGCAGCACGTGGCGGACACACTCTGCCTCCTCAACTATGCACAGTCTGGTATGGAGCTGGAGTTCTATGATCACTAACACTAATGGTCCGTCCAGTCTCCCTACCACATATAATGAGTACCGATCCGTCGTGTGTAGTGCAGTCCCGCTCATGTCCTGTCGCTACTTCCCTGCGTTACTTTGTCTTCCGTTGTCTCACTCTCTGCAGATCGTTCACTAGTTCCTTCGTGTGACACGCTTCTAGCCTTTACCTTCTCCAAAATGTCTGATCTCCACGCCTGGATAATCTCTCTCTCCTCCCTAAACAGACTCTCGAACTCTCTCGTCACGAGTTCAACCCTTCGCAACTTGCCCTCGTCTTGACACGACCAATTCCCCCTTAACTTGTCCCCCAACTTCTTTACCTGGTTCAAGAGTGGTTCTTTAACGCGCTTTCTCACTCTTCCTACTGCCTCACTCTCCTCTCCCATACTCAGTCCACATCTTTCTCCACCTCACCTTCTCACCCTCGCTCTAGCCTCTGCTACCGTCTCATCGTGGTAGTGCTCCGCGCGCATATAACCATGAGACCATATCATCACATCATAGGAAATCGAGGTCTGGAAGGTCACTCGCGCCAGGACATCGGCTCTACGCTCGTGGATCAAATCCCTAGCTCGTTGTCTGCACTCACTTGCGGTCAAGTCCTGGTCTACGTACGCTCGGAGAAGTACTGTCACAGTGTATCCTGTGCTCACCAGTTGTTCTCCTACACGCATCACCGTGGCCGTCCTTCCCGGCATTCNTACGCTCGGAGAAGTACTGTCACAGTGTATCCTGTGCTCACCAGTTGTTCTCCTACACGCATCACCGTGGCCGTCCTTCCCGGCATTCCCTAAGYTGCGACCTCGAAGAGAAATCTCGCGTCCTCTAACCCCGCGTAATCGATCTCCGTCTGTCTCCTGCAATACCTAATCAGATCGATAGGCCTCAGACAGTCCACCGAGCTCGTAACATCTATGATGTCGCCAAGSGTYTCTCTACTGGGCGGCCCCCACCTCACACAAATGGCGTAGTATACTTCCTTGAAGCGGGGCGCTAAGCCCTCCCAGAGCGCGTAAAGTGTGTGATCCACTGCTCTCCTCAAACGATCCACGCTTCCATAGGTCTGCCCTATCACGAAGGTAGGAACACCGAATCGCCAATCCTTTCTCGGGTAGAGGGTCGGATGTGGTGGACCGTATACCAAGCAGCTCCTACTCGTCCTCCCTCCAGAGAGTCTCGCCAGTTGCTGATTAATGATCACTCTGGCCAACGACTCACTTCTCCACCAACTCCTGCTCGCCCCTGCGAGCGTTAGTCCTATCTCTAAATCGTGTGCTCTATCCGCTATCAGATGTCCGACCCCTTTTAGATCATGAGTCCTCTCGGGTCGTTCATCTCGTAGTATCACTGTCCATAGGAACAGCCCCTCTGCGAGCCACGTTCCCAAGTATCGTATCGGTACTCGCCCTGCCTCTTCTAACGCCACAGAAAGTGGTATGTCGTATCCAACCGCCGTCTCTCTGGGCTCCACAAGCTTCCTCACACTATATGATTCGGACTCTCGTGAGAGAACATAAGCTAACCAGGCCGCTGAATCACTCCTCATTTCTTCTACTACTCTTGGTCAGCATCACTCTACTCCCTCCGATGCACCCCATCTCTCGACGTTGCAAACCCTTCTGACAACTCTCGCACTCAGGTCCAGTATGGTCAAATAGGTTTAGTAGCCAGGCTCACTCATCCGTCGCCCTGGTGCGCTCCTCTACCTCCTACGCCCGGACCGCTACTCCTATCCTGGAAAAATGGGCGTCTATAACGTCAATCTCCTCCTCGTCAACCTCACTCTCTGGGTCGACCTAGTCTGGCTCCCACAGCTCCTCGTCGTCCTCTCGCTCCCAACCCTCGTCGTCAAACTCGTCCTCGACGCGGTATGGCGCCTGTCCTATGGCCTGGTAGTATTCCGTCAACTGATGCCCGTATATCAGAGGTCGCCCGACGTCCTCACTCCACCAGCTCCCCCAGTCGTCTGAGAAGAGCCGCCCGATGCAAGTCACGTACTCGGGGCCTGCTCGGAGCTCACGGTCTAGCCAATCCCAAACGCACGAAGGCTGGGGCCACTCGTCGTCTATCGAGCGGATCAGCTCTATAAGCTGAACCCTCTCGTCTCCCCAAYGAGGCCCACCGGTCGCWAGCGAATAATAGATGTAGTCTAGGTCGGCAGGCCTTCTCGCCAGGGTCTTGAGATCATGATAGGCCAGGTATGTCTCGACCACTCCACCAATACCTCCAAAGACACTCTCTACTATGAACGTCGGAACTATCGCCCGCAGGCTCCTAACGCTGTACGGGAAAAAGCCGTCCCGTGCTACCACCAGCTCGCCCGTGATATCAAGAGGGGATCGTCCATGAAATAGGGTCAACGGGTCGCTCACGTCCTCCGCTCGGAAAGCAGCTACCTCTTCCCCTAGGTAGCGTAGCGCCCTACTAACTGCGTCACTAGTCCCTGTCATCGCGAGGCCCACCACGGCTTCCTTGACCGCACCCGGTCCCAAATACAAGTAAGCTCTCACTACGCCCACTCCTTGCCCCGGCCGGTGCTCTCTGTACGTCCAAAGCCACACGTCGTCGGACAAGATTATGGACCTCCACGCAAACTGGCCGTCAGCGTGTCGAATGTTGCGTCCGGGGATCGTGAGCTCGACCAGTTCCCCCTCTATGAGTTCAGGGGGCTCTAAGTCCCCGTCAATGGTAGCCCCATAAACCTCTACTTGCACCCGGGGCCACATTCAACTGGCGGCTAAAGAGAGCACAGCAAGCGGAAGGTGTAGATTAAAAATTCGCGTCGCTTGCCCCACGCCTTCGAGAACAAGCTAGTAGGATCACCTGAAGCCAGGTCACCRCAACGTCCCTTTCCCTTCTCCTTCTAGGGAATTCTTTTGTATTTTTCGATTATAAATTATAGAAAATGTATTTACCTAAGACAAATTTTCTTTTTTAGTTTATATATATTAAGGATTAATACTTATATAAGCCCGCCGAGTTTGATGCTTTTTTAGGGGTAGAAATAAAATTTTGGGGATTTAACTAAAATTTCGGCAGCGTTTCGCCTCCCCCCGTTGGGATGAGGTTCGGGACTATTGTCCCTAGACAAACGCTACCTACCCAGAACTAAAGCCAAATGAGACTAGAGGAAGGCCGCTGAAAAAAACAAATTAGTGGAGATCCACCCGACACTGTTGAACCACACCAGCAACAGTGACGGGGAGGGTCCACCACGCAACCCCCGTCCCCGTCACGGTCGACGTCGCCACCGCCGACTGCCATGTCATATTCCCGACCTCAACATCGAAGCCATGCTGTAGATTGATCCTAGTTATGGCTTCCACCTCGGAACGAGGGTCAGGGCTAGCTTGATTGATCATGTGGCCCATCATGTCGATGTTCATGGTGCACCGGCGCCATGTCCGTGGCGATAGTGCAATCGTGGATGTGTGGTGGTAGGATTGTCGGAGTCGACCGCCGTTTACATGTGGTGTGTGTGTGTGTGTGTGTGTGTGTGTGTGTGTGTGTGTGTGTGTGTGTGTGTGTGCATGCGAACCTGTTCTACCGAACAACTGTGGCTTTTATTATGAAGGAGAAGATTCCGCGAAATTTCTCTCTCTCTCTCTCTATCTATCTATCTCTATCTATCTATCTATCTATCTATCTATCTATCTATCTATCTATCTATCTATCTATCTATGTATCTATCTATCGATCTATCTATCTATCTCTATCTCTCATGATTTGTCACGGCATTAACTTCACATACCAACCAATGAAGTCATTTTCTGGAAATTGCAATTCATGCAATGATCGGTAGAGTATATGGAAGATTGATCGATTGATCAATTGATCGTTTGATGAAATGCTCGATCAATTGCTTGCTTGATTGATTGATTGATTGATTGATTGGGTGATCGGTTATATGATTGATTGATTGATTGATTGATTGATTGATTGATTGATTGATTGATTGATTGATTGAATGATTGAATGATTGATTGGATGATTGATTAAATGATTGATTGATTAACTGATTGATTGATTAATTGATTGATTGATTAATTGATTGATTGATTAATTGATTGATTGATTGATTGATTGATTGATCGTTATTTTCATTTGTGGATGCATTCACGGCTTGGTGTATATAAATGTGTATATATATATATATACATACATATATATATGTACACACAAACTTGTCAGATCGGAAAAACCAACTACAACCAAACAGGGGGCAACATGCAACAACACCCAGAAAGGATCGTGGATGACAAGTCCCACATGCAAGCACCGCCCCTTCTTCACAGGCCAAACGACGGAACAAGACCACTCAGGACAAAACTCTTCTCTGCAAACAAAACTATATACAGCACGTGGCCTTATTCATCATCAAGATGTGGGTATTCCCATTTGTAAACCATTCATGCTCTCATGGGCCGAACAACATAAAAAAAAAATCGGATGACTCGTCCCACCGACTCCCACATGAAAGCACTGCTGCGCTCGCCAAACAGCACCGAAGAACGGGACAAAACCAACGGGGATGCAGACAAGAGTGCCAAAAAACAAACATAATAAAAGAAATGAACGTCGAGTGTGACACTCCATACCCGATAAACTCTACGTTCACACGGAGAGAGAGAGAGAGAGAGAGAGAGAGAGAGAGAGAGAGAGAGAGAGAGAGAGAGAGAGAGAGAGAGAGAGAG